TAATGTGTACCATTTTACTCAAAACTCTGGCGGAACTGGCATGGGAGAAACCGGTTAAAGCGCTTTTCCACCAACTTCCGGGAACACTAGAAGTAGTTGAGAAACACAATAATGAAACTTAAAACCCGGAACCAAAGCAATGTAAGAGAAAAGCTCGTGAACTCATGATGCTAGTCTTCCACTGAGTTGACCCAGGTTTAATCCAACCCCATCGTTTTATCGTACGGTAACCAGAAAAGGTCTCATATCCTTGCTGTTTCTCCCATTCAGCACAAAAATCAACACTTTCAACAACCTCGCTGATTGGAACCAAATGAATGAGTCGTATCTCGCACGATCTGACATCCGAATAAGTCCATGAATTGTGTACTCCAAAAATGACGTTGAAGAGTTCAATTATTCATATTACTAGTTTAAAGGTAGTAAAATTTAATGCAAGTTGAAAAATCTTTAATCCCAGCCAAACTCTACCTGACTCTTCGATTCGCATGGCGCAAATTATTTAATCCGCAAATCGATTCTGGCATGGCTCATTGTAGTTGATTTCCTCCTAATTAGAGGGATTATTTTTGTAAATCTGGCCTCCAGTTTGGGAAAGGAAACTCCAACAGAAATTTGAGGTTTCTTGAAACGGTTATAATAGTTATTGTTATCTACATTTATCAGATCTGTGTTATCAGTGCGGCCCCGTTGCTCAGCTGGTAGAGCGTGCGCTGTATAAAAAAGTGTAGTCCGCGTTCATGCGTGGGTTCGAATTTACCCAACTTTTCACAATCTCGGCATAAAATCTTCAAATCTACCAAACATCCATTTACACAATTAACCTTGTCTCAGATGTTCATTCGGTGGATTCCGGTGAATTAAAAGGAAAACCTATCGAGGCAGTCAGCTTACATGCTAACTGGTGGATGCCATATGCTTCTGGGTATTTTAAATGTGAAAAGATCAGTGCTGTTGGTGTGGCTTCGTAGATCAGCTGGTTGAGCATGCTCTGTATAAAAACGTAGGCGGCGTCCATGTGTGGGTTCGAATCCCACCGAGGCTACTGTACTTTCACAATCTATTTTTATTCAAGGTTTTGCCTGCTCGTATACACTCATACTGTTATTTGAAACTATAAATCATCGAGTAATGAGGTCAGAGTCAAGACTGATATTGAAGCTAGGAGACAATTGATTATTGTGGCTCAATCGCTTGTCTGGTCGCTTTCTGATTTTTAGAGCACTCCAGGTTAAGAGCGTTCTTGGACAGACTGATTGATCTCAGAGGCTACTTACTTGACTATAGCATATACTCCAACCTTTGACCCTATGGTACACCCAGGTGTACGTCTCTCGTCCAGAAATCTCCTCGAATGGACGACAAAGATTGCAACAGTTCTCGGTCCAGTTGAAACGAAGTGTCGAACTGGGCTGACAGTGTGGACACGGATGGAAACCGGACCAGTCTGCCGGCGGCAGACTGACCAGATAAGGCACAGTTCTGGCCAAATTTTCCAAAGTTGTATGCGTTGTGTTTGGACACCAGAGCACTCCGTTCTAGAAAGACACGAGGAGTGGATAGAAAATGCAGGATGAATTAGTCACAGTCGGGAAAACTTCAAAGTGGACATGAAAGTCAGTCATACAAATGCCACAATTGTCTTGATGTAGAACAGTGCACTCCCGGATTAAAAGATTTCCTCTCAAATATGTTGTCTAACTTGGTAATCCAGAAACTGATGAACCCAAAGCCTATTCGTCAAAGAATATCATCATACATTTTGGTACCGAATTTTGATTGGAGATATAAAAGACAAGGAGCTGTAATCCGGCACACCTGCCCCAGACCTTGGTTCGATGCCTTAATCCGCAATCTGAATCTTTGGGACCACGGTTGGGGAGCCCCAACGGAAGCCAGATCCGGGCACAATCTCTTTACTTCTCTGTCCCACGACATAGCCTGCTCGCCTCGTTTCTTTCAACCCGGGACTGATGTCTGCGAATAGTGCACGGTGTAGCAGACGTTGCTCAGGCATCCGTAGGACTTGCTCTAGCCACCTAAGACGATGCTGTGAAATTATTTTGCTCAACGGGAGAATCTCTGATACTAGCACACGTCGTCTGACCTCATCTTTATTCACGTGATCCTCCCACCATACGTGGTTATAATTCAATATCATTAGAATTGAACAAATCAATCATTGAAAAGACTTTCTTTTTTCAATACTCCCCCACCTCCCGCCCGACCCTACCAAGCCGAACGGGTTCAAGTGCATCTCAGTGCAATGCTTGGGTCCGCGCACGGTTTTAATTTGCCAAACCAGTGATTAAGTGTGACTCATCTATGCAATTAAACTCCTAGTCCGTATGTAATCGAGGAACTCATGAATGACGCAAGTGGGTTTCTGGCAAACTCGCTGTACCCTGAGATGTGTACAATAATTTAATTTAAAGCTGAGAAACATTATCACACGCGCTTGAATCCTCATGACCAGTGATCGAGAAGAAATAAACTGACGTCATTACGTCATCAGTGACGACTGCATTAAATCGCACTCGCTCGTTCGCTCGCTCGCTCGCTCGCACAACCGCACACCGACCCGCGCAAAATCAATTTCCCCGGACACCGTTACCACTGGTTGTTCCTGATTGACTGTCTAAGTGATCGGCTTTGGTGACATCCCGGTGATCAAACATAAATTTTCAAGCGCACAATTGAGCGATGTGAAAATCCGAAAGTTTTAGCATCATCTCACGTGCCAATACAGCCGGCCTGCATTGAACAAAACCGCCAAATGCAAACAAACATAGTGACCACAGAGTAAAAAGAATACTTTGTATTGGACGTCACTCTGTGAAATCCCGTCAGATTTTGTGCCGCTGTGACAAGATGTTGGAACATGTGACCAATGGCCTGTATGACCAAATTTTCATTCACCAGAATAAACCACACTTTTAGACGATATTTTTGTTCATGCATTTCACTAAAGTTTAGAAAAATAACTTGACAGGTAACGCAACGTAACGGCTGCCAAAAACCAAGCTTAACAGTAGAGTAGTAGAGTTTTCTGGAACAACTGAGTAATTCCAATGGGTTCATCGATATTTTTGAAGTTACTTTTCGTATTCGTCTGTTGTGCCTGACCACCTGACTCTTGTTAATCTCGTATAACGGCCGTGTTTTACAAGGTTGACCAGAAATTTTGACATATTTGTGGGTTCGAAATTATTCCCGATTGAGTAGTCATGAGAGCTCAAGTTAGTAAACAATCCCTTTTTCGGTGTCACATCAACTGACTGATGACAGCACAATTCATCATAGATGAACACAAGCGGTGAAAGAAGACAGATATTTACGAAGGAAATCAGAGTTTAAAAAGAGATGATGGAATTGTGATAAGTGATGTTTATAAGTGTGTATGGAAAGTGGAAGACTGAGGGAAGTTGTGAATGAGTGAGTAGGTAAACGAGTGAGAGTTCGTGAACGGAGATTACGCCATCAGATTGCTACTGGGTGGCCATTATAAGACCAATGCTCTTACAAGCTGTTTCTGGGCGCACAATGGGGGCGGGTTGGAGGCGGGTGGCAATCGTCTCGGCTGCTGACGAAATTCCGAACTCGACCTCTTCGGATAACCTACCCTTGACCGTATAGAGAAGACTGAAAGCCTCAAGCACACTGACAGGGTGATTAGACACAGTCAAATGGTTCGTAATTGCCGTCGCCTCGGCCTCTTGTCAATCCCTGATTTAACCAAATGCGGTGATACTCTTTGATGCGGTCAGACAGCCGTCTCACCGTTCGACCCACATAATTGGCACCACTGCACCAGGTGAATTGATAAACACAAAATGAGGTCACATCCGGGGTTAATCTACCTTGAGTCTGCACAAACAGGCTTCAGTCCTCTCCATACGGTCAAGGGTAGGTTATCCAAAAAGGTCAAGTTCAGAAAATTGGTCATACCATGGCCATTCACTGATAATCTGACGACGCAATCGCCGTTCACGAACTCTCACTCATTTACAACCACCCTCCGTCTTCCAATTTTCACGCACACACTCACAAACATCGCAATTCCATCATCTCTTTTTAAACTCTGATTTTCATCATAAGTATCTGTCTCTTTTCACCGCCTGTGTTAATCCGTGATGAATTGGGCGGTGTTTATCCAGTTGATATAGCACCGAAAACGAGCTTGTTTACCAACTTGTGTTTGCGGGTCCGATTGCAAACAAGGAGTGGATCCACACGGATTTTCATTTGGCACACCTCATCCGGGTTGAATCACATACACTGTTTTGTGTCGCTCTGTAAATGTGATTCTGTACTTTGGGAATTTCGCATCGGTGCTTTCACATTATAGTTCACTTTACTTGAGCTTCAATACAGCTTTCAAAGATGCGAAAGCAGCTCCGGCGGAGCTTCGATTGATTCAATTGAACCGAATCTAAGGGGTGTGTGAATATTACTCACCTGTACATATTATGGAGACAACAGTTTCATGACTACCAGTCTCAGATGGCTTGATGTGAATACAACTAGTTCGATCAAACGATGCGGTTTATCCCCGTTTAGAGTTGTACAATGATACATTTGTGGATCATACATTTTTAGGTTGATCTGCGCGTGGACATATTGACATCGTGCTGAAAACTATGCTTTCTATGAGCGTATTCCGGATTTCCGACTCCTACTGCTTACTCTTAGTTCGACCTAAGGTTTAT